CAAAAATGAAGGCGCACAGTATCGGTTCCAGCTAAACCATTGTGGAATAAGGAAAAACAGCATTATTTATATGACAAACCTCGAGCTTACTAGTATATAAGACCCCGGTCGCGTCCTGTGTATCGACATGTTCGCCGAACTCGTCCAGTAGATCGTTGAGAATACTATGATCCAACTTTCCAGACCTCTGAAACAAGTGGAATATAACTTAGAATGCCAAAGGATAGATATTCAAGTCCACATACATGAAGTTCTATGCCCTTGTTATAGGCAATATACCGGATTTTGCGTGAGAGGTCACTACCTTCCTGAGCAATTTGCCTAAAGAATTTCATCGGCTACTAGTTAAACTCCGGAAATGAAACATCCAACTTGAAGCGCATTCCGAGTATCCAATTGGGAATAAAGCGTACTACGCACTCTTATGTCAGGCTCTTTACGAGGACTATGCTACCCAATACTCACAAAAATGGAAAATATTGACAAGCCAAATTCCAAACACCCCTTCGCTTGCTATGGGTGTCAACTCTAGGTTCCAACGAGACAATTCATCACCCATTTCGGCCCAGATTCGGTCTCCGTAGTGGCTTTAGAGATTAAATGGCCAATACAGCTAAAAATTTCCGCAGAAGTGTCCAATGAGCTGACAATATCAGGACGAAAGATGTGGCTCACGGCTCTATCGCGTCATTGGGATTGCCTTGAAACTCATGTAACTTGGGCAGAAGCTTTATTGCTTCAGATTCGATGAGAGGGTCATGAATCCCAACTCTTTGAGGGCCTATTGCTCGACGGAGCATCTTGCGCTGGTTGGCGTGATGCGCGCCAGGGGGCATGAATCCCATACCCCACTCCATTTCCATGCTATGAAGAGAGTACGGGAACCCATCCAGGTAACAGATTGGTTATTTCTTTGCAAAGGATGCTGTGGGTAAGGTCCAGCTCACAGATCTGCCACGAGGTATCCCACACTTCGGCCAGCGGTAGAGCTCGGATTCTTGGAAAGGAACTCGTGGGCTATTTCATACGAGTTTAGAATAACCATATCTATTCCTGGTACTGGAGCATAGACAATCTCGCCTGTAAACCTTTTAGAATATCTGGACTCTTGATCCAAGAGCCAACACTACGCACGGAATCAAATTTTGTGCACCTAAAATCAGTGAATTAGTACTGAGGCACCTTTGGTTATAGACTATGCAGAAAAGATACTTATCAGAAATAAATAGAGGATAAATTTAAGCACTAAAAAATTGCAAGTCGCTGGTCAGTGGTTGATTAGCACCCCATTTAAGTGAATTACTGATACTACTAAAAATCAATTACCAAATAAATTTGGGGAGGATAACTGGAGGTGCCTTACCACTTATACGATACTTTTAAGTGCACAAAATCTAACCCCGTGCCTAGTGCAATGAAATGCGTACCATACTCATTTGCCCATTCTTTGAAACGTTGAATTGGATATTCTTTTGGAAAACTTCTCATAGCTCCAATGAAAGGGTCTCTATGTGGTCCGGGGGATATGGATACGCATCATGGCCTTTGAAGATAACGCCCCTTGACCCGTTAATCGTGTAATAGCCGAGGGAAGCCAGTATCAGTGATGCAGCGCATATTTTAGCAGGAGAGTCTAGCGATATTCTATTAATGGATTTGGTTGGGACACAGTAAGCCAAACACAAAAATTCGGCCAGAGGAAAGGGAAGGGAGGAGAATCTCGACGAGAAGACACAATTATTGCCCACTTTATATTGGGAAAGACATTGATACAGGCCAAAAGAGAATATGGTTAATTCATACCTCCACTTGGGGTTCTTTGTATGGGCAACATCACAGACCCTTAAAAGGGTATACGTTAATCCGGGGTCTATAGAGGGATACTGCGCGCGAAGACTGTAAAGCCACAGGAACGCCAATGGGGCAGGGCCTAAATAATCAATAGAGGGCAGCCGGTATACGATTCAAGAGAGAATAGCCGAACCCACCTCCGGTTTCTTGGCACCGGTTTGAGATAGAACTGCTATCATTCGACGATACATATTTATAGATCGTGACACTGTATTCTTCGTCGCATCGTCAAATATAGCACACACTTACCAGTGTACTTCTCTTTAAGGAGAAATGACTTGGCGTACTACCAACGAACTAGCATTGACTCGGGACCTCGCTTCAGATGGGAATTATTCCTGCACAATCTGGTTTGGAGCAAATATTATGAGTCGGTATTCTTTATTAGGAATAGTACAGAAACGGAAGAGACGTTTTCAGATATAAACATTCAGTCTTTGAACGAGTGATAATAGCTCATTGCAATGACTTTGGGTGATACCAGTTGTATGGCTCAATGTTAGCTCCTCTGTGTGCTTCAATGCGTCCCCTTTAAGCCCACTTCTTGCTTCAACGAACAGGCTCACAAGGGCTTCACCATCTACGAAGCTGTTGGACACTCTGATAGATTTCAGAGCGGGACTTTTCCGAGCCAAGACCTCGAGGACGGCAACAACCCCTTCCAATTCATTCTCAGGAGATTCGGGTTTCCTCCAACCCTCAAAGCGTAAGTGGGCAAGTCCGTAAAATAGGTTATTGAGGTCTTCTATGAGAGGCCCATGTAATTGACCATTGAAGGGCGAGCCATAGAGAATCAAGGAACTCAGGGCTCCTACTTTCACTGGTTGATATTTCCACAAGTCGCAGAATGAAACCCCAAGCGTATGAAGCTCTGGGAGCTCGATGCCATATTCTGGCATACCGAGCATCGGTGTGTCGATTTTGTGATAAAGATGAAATTCTTCTAATCGCCGGGCTAGTACGTGATCAAGTTGAAAGTCACGAGGAAGCCATTTTAGCCAAAGTTTGAGAAATTTCAGATGAGGAAAGGACATATCGATGTTATAATGCATCATCCCTCTGCCTCCAGTATAATTACTAGTGATTGTCAACGACCGTATTGACACGAATTTGAAAAACGTATCGAAAAAGCGCCCTGTAAGACGCGGATTCCTCCCCATCGTGATGGTAAGTGTACTTGCTCTTCGAAACGGTAGACTATCAATCCTCCCATCGAATCCATCTGTTGGCCTATAAACATGGAGGTTTACATCTCGCTCTTCAGGTAAATCACTCCTTGAAATTTCCTGTGCTCTAGTTCGCACACCATACGCCTTGTAGCGCCTTACACTGTAGTAGCCCCAAGGAAACGCATGAGAGAGATTAGTCAAGATCGTGATAGTAGAACTCGTGTTCTTGATGGATGTGGTGAGAAGATCATATTCACGAGGGAGCCAGGCTCGTACGGGCGGGCCGTATACCAAGCCCCAGATTTGCGGTTGACCGTGTACTAGTATCCTCCAATAGCGGCAGACATGTGAGAGGTTCATTGCGGTTGAGCGCATTGGCTTGTCTGTATACCCTTCCAAATAGTCATTGAGCTCGCTATCCGAGACGAGCAGAAATATGGACTCCCAAACTTCTGCAGGAACACCCCATAAATATCCGGTGTTCAATTTCAGGCCTTTTATTTCCTGGTGAATCCAATCTCTCACAACCGCGAGTCGCTGTGAGGACGTCTGGATGACCTTGGTGGGGTCTTCCCACTCAGTCTGACCAGTCTGCGGGTCACCGACGCTAATTGAACATACTTGAATTGTTTCTTCTTGATCTTTCATTACTTTCTCGATCGCGATCAGGATCCATCTTGGATTCCTTGGCTGCGCTGATTGGAGACTCTCAGTCACTAGGGTTTCGCCGTTATGATCGATGGCCTCTCGGATATTAGAATGAACCAATTGAAGTAATTGGAGGTTATCTCGAAGTACATGAACTACACTCTCCTTGGTTGGTGTGGCAATTTGGGTGTTGGAAGTTGCCCTGAGGTGCTGAGTATTTTGAGATTCTCTGTTCGTCAAATCCTTGGAAGCTTTCTCAAGACATTTCTTCATCTGCTGGGCGAAATCATAATCACTCTTCTTTTCCGCCATATATTAACGCTCAGTACCAAATTTCTGGCTTCTATGGAGGAAATTTAATCTGATAGTC